AGCTGTATTTTTCTGTCCTCTCAGCAAAGTTAGCTTTAAACATCCTCATCGGGGACTGGCTTTATAGGCAGGTCTGCGAACATGACTCACATCGTTCATAAACTTTGACCATAAGTGACTAACATATTTTCTTAATTTTTGACTAAGCTAAGTCACAGCCAAAGCAATTAAAACACTTAGCCCAGACGACATGGCTCAGTGGTTGAGCATCAACCTTTGAACCAGGAGCTCACAGTTCGATTCCCGGTCAGGGCACATTTGGGGGTTAAACTACCTGATTTAAAAGTGTACTATGAAGCTACAGTGATAAAGATTGTGTGCTAATGGCATTCAGATAGCTTAGTAAATCAATGGGCCACAATAACATTTGGACACCGGATTTCCAACAAAAGCACAAAGGCAATTCAGTTACGAGAGGATAATCTTTTCAACAGATGGTGTTGGAACAATTGGCTGTCCCTGTGTAAAGACTAAAACTGACCTGTACTTCTCCATCTACAACAATCAAATCAACATGGGCATAGACCCAAATAGCTAATCTAATAAAAGACAAACATGCAAATTGACCGTACCTTTGCTATGCCTTAAGCCACGCCCAACAGCCAATCAGAACAACTATATGCAAATTAACCCAACCAAGATGGCAGCCGGCAGCCACGGAGCTGTAGCAAGCAGAAGGCTTGGGTTGCCCCTGGCAATGGAAGAAGCCAAGCTTCCCACCCGCCCTGGCCGGCTCTGAGCTCCACTCAAGGCTACAAAGTTTCAATTATAGAAGGTAAATAAATCTCAGAATAAAAAAAGAAAGAAAAAAAGGAGAGGCTGGCAGCTTCTGTTGCCGGGGGGCTTGGCCAGCCTGAAAACAGCCCTCAGCCCCTCACCCAGACTGGCCAGGCAACCCAGTGGGGACCCCCCCCACCCTAAAGAGGGTGTGGCCAGCCTGAAAACAGCCATCAGCCCCTCACCCAGGCTGGCCAAACCTCCATGGGGTGAGGGTTCCCACTGGGGGAGGGGGGGCTTGACCAGCCTGCAAATAGTCATCAGCCCCTCACCCAGGCTGGCCAGGCACCCCAGTGGGGA